CAGAGTACCACAACAGAGGCTTCTGAGAAAAACTAAGGCTCATGGTATCGAGAGGAAAGTTTTAAATTGGACAAAATCATGGCTCACCGATAGAACACAGATGGTCAGCGTACATGGTGTTAAATCGGAGTGGGGCTGTGTAACTAGTGGGGATCCCCAGGGGTCAGTACTGGACCCACTCTTGTTCATAATCTTCATAAACGATCTAGATACTGGGATCAGCAGTGACATAAGCAAGTTTGCGGATGACACCAAAATAGGGAGGCAGATTAGTTCAGGGCAGGATGCAAATGCATTAGAGGAGGATTTTAATGAACTGCAGGAGTGGTCATAAAAATGGTAAATGAAATTCAACACCAGCAAGTGCAGCGTACTTAATATTAGAAGAACAAATACTGTCAATGTATACAGCCTTAACAACATCAACCTAGAGAAGTCGACTTGTGAAAGAGACTTAGGGGTACTTGTAATGATACGAGTGGTGGTTAGGGTTGATTCTGAGGGCTGTTAATCGGGGCTGGTAGTGAGGGCTGGTGGTGAGGTCTGGCTGTGAAGGGTGTTAATGAGGGCCAAGTGGGGAGCAGTAGCCTATACCAGTTACTGTTGTTGTTAAGTCAGCTGCAATAATATGTTGTACCCAGATCACAAGAGGCTTACTGTACACTGTTGTCTCATCCTCCCGTGACTGGTGGTGATGAAGGCAGGTACTAGCAATTGGTTGATGCTAGCATTTTAGCATTTTATAGACTTTTATGACTTGATCATTTACCTGTGTCCTATACTTTGGGTGAGTTCAAGCTTTAGCTGAATTTCATTGAGCCTTATGTTGTATTTTGTATAATGTAACCAGAATCTTGTTTACACAATGTACAGGATACACAACACTTGGATGTTTTGATAAGTCGATCATTACCCCCAGTGGTACCGTATGACGTCACAACGCCAATTCTAAATGCATAGACTATGCTGGTGATGTCATGGTTGATGTCAGAGGTTACAATGAGCTTTGTGTGAAGGTCAGCTGCCATGAGAATTACTAGACACACACTGTACTGGCATCTATGTCTAACTGGACGTGGGATATGTTTGCTTCATTCACATGGGAGTCTACACTGAGTAGCTAACAGACACACTTCCTCACTTGGCTGGAAACAACGTCAGTATATTATTGTCAGCTTTGAATAACAACCCACCATGAAGCTGTAAGATGATGCAACTCTCACTGTAGGCTACTGAAACGTTAAGGGAGTTTTGAAGAAGAGAGAGCTAGAATTAAGGACTATTCTTGCCACTGACTCCCGAGGTCACCCTGGGTCCACCACTTGACTCACGAGGTCACGCTGGGTCCACCTCTGACTAACTGTATTGCTGCTTCACCACCCAGGTCACCACACCTGTCCTGCTCCCTCACCACCCAGGTCACCACACCTGTCCTGTTCCCTCACCACCCAGGTCACCACACCTGCCCTGCTCCCTCACCACCCAGGTCACCACACCGGTCCTGCTCCCTCACCACCCAGGTCACCACACCTGTCCTGCTCCCTCGCCACCCAGGTCACCACACCTGTCCTACTTCCTCACCACCCAGGTTACCACACCTGTCCTGCTACCTCACCACCCAGGTCACCACATTTCTCCTATCTACCCTGATCTACCACCAATCTCCTCGCGTCTGACTATTGGTTCCATACTGCCAACATCTTGGCAGATCCTCCTCCTTCAGTTGTCTTCCTTGATCTTCTCGTAAAGATTTTTCTGCTGTACTGTTCTTTTTTATAGTTTACTTTACCTCCTCTATCTCTCTCAGTACCCCTCACATCTTCCTCCTCATCCTTCTTATTCCCCTTCCAAGCCTTTTTGCCTTCTTTTATCACATGGCTTCATATCTGTACCTACATATTCTCCCTTAACAGTTGTCCTCTCTCTCTCTCTCTCTCTCTCCTCCAATTTTGCCGGATTTCTCTTCACTTCCTCTCTATATCTCTCCCTCTCATCTCGACTACACACCCTTAACCTAATCACCCCTCATCCTTATCCTAGGTTTCTCTATCCGTCTTTCCAATTATCCCCTCAAACACCAGTGGCTTATGCTGAGTTGTGCTGTGCTCTCCCACAATACTCTGGTAATCCTTCACCCTCCACTGCTGTTTATTCATAACAATCATCTGATCAGTCTCGATCCTGCAGCTGTTACTACTGTATGTTTGGGGGAAGGAGTTTGCCACACTTTTTTCCTTCCTTGACACCAACTCTAAACTATCAAACTCTGCCAAAATCAGTTTTTGTGTCCCACCTACGAATGTCCACTTACTCTTCCTCTCCAATCTGTCTCGTCCACTTATGGGCTTTCTGGTCTCAAGCTGCTATGAAGGTCTCTAGCGTTGAAAAACTTTGGCTTCTTACACTTGAGATGACTTTTTTTTTTGGCCAGGTTTGGAATGGACGAGTTACTGTACAATAAAATTATTTTGTCAAACTTTTTGGCATTGAACCCCGAGTCGGCAAGAACGTGTGTAGTTTGTTTCCGCACTGTTGTCTTCCAACCTCATTTGCAGGAAGTGGTTCTGGATCACTGCTGTATACACTCGACTCCAAACACTCGCTCGGAAACTTCCACGTACGTGTAAAATGTGATAGTGTAGTGCATTACTTACTGGTAGTCTCTGGTCTTCTGCCTTCACACATACGGTATAATGAAGCGAGATATGCCTATTAAGTCAAGTCTCCTCATGCTGTATCATCTACACTCGAATGCGTTTTCTTTCTGTCCTTTCTGAGTATGTCACCACCACAGAATGCCACCACCACCACAGTCAAAAGACTCGCTGTGTTCAGTAAGACGATTTTCTCAGCAGAGGGCTTTATGTGTTTATTGGAGGAGGATGATGTGGTACCACGACCAGCCGGGAAATTCTTGTGATGAATTCAGGAGTCATGCAGTCACACAGACTGATGTGATATGAGTTTGTGTCTTCAGTATTCACATATACTTGAGTAACGACCTTGCCGCTGAAATATAAAAAAATAAAAAATAAATACGTGTCAAGTAAAACGTTTTAGCACCATGAACCGTAACGAAAGAACTAAAACGATTGAAATTACACAAAGTGTTGGTTTAGTTATCTATTCATTATTAAATGATGACACTAAATAAAAATCAGCAGTTCATTTCAAATTCATCTATAATAATAGAATTGCGTATTGCCTCTATTTATGTCCTGATGTATCGAGTGATTGACACCACGTTTGTTATTGAAAATATGTCGTTTTGTATCGCATATTTTTTAACATATGAAGTAAACACATCCGGCCCTTCGAGTATGTGTAACCGTCAACAACACAAAGACAATAACCTCGTACATTTAATTATCAGAGAATTAAATTATATTTTTCTCCCTATTTATGAGTGACAACCGTTTCATCACCCTATGAGTGGGTCACCATATTACTGTATAAGGGCGTCAGGAACAGTCTCAGGTATTTTGATATTAATATTGAAACAGTTTATTTAGCCAGAAAAAACCCAGATACAGAGTCGATAATAATGACAATATTAACATGGCTGAGCCAGTTGAGAGCCTGATATATACTGTACATTTATCTCAAGGAAATATTATATAACATTTAGTATCATCTGGAATAGTACACATAACATGGTGGTAGTAAGAGTATATCAGAATGTCACCACGGTTATCACTTCGTTATTTATTTATTTTATTGTACATTTTATTTACTTTTTTTACATTTACTGTATATCATAAGTATATACATATTTTACAATGGTGTTGATATGCATAAATATGACAAGGGGGGGAAGCAGTACAACATGGGTTGACACAAGAGAACAGAGCTGTCAGTATCATGTCTAGTCAGCAAATATAATTATTGCAATGGTAATTGCTATCTATTTATATGGCAATCTATGATATAATGGTTTTGGTGGTACAATATAAGCAGGAATATAAAATAGGTATTACAAGAATATTAATACTTAGACAATATATATTGTTTAAGAGATGATTTAAAGGAAGGGAGCGTAGTCTTTGCTCGGATGGGTGGGGGTAAGTTGTTCCACCCCTTCACACCATGATATTTTATGGAGGTCTGGGACAGAGAGGAGCGCATGGGAGTGGGGGGGGCCTTAGTAGATCTGGGTTTCTTAAGTTGTATCTCTTATTATTCCGGAACTGGAAATAATTATTGTCAATCAAGTGATTGGCAGATTTGTAAATAATAGGACACAGCATTAGGTGTTAATATCATCGAATTTTAACATTGTTGGTCTTAAAGTGCTGGAGATCCTACCATCATTATCTCCCTGTGATCTTGTAAACACATCTGGCTCTCTCGTATGTTTTTTCCTCTCGTGTTTATAAAATTAATAATACCTCATTCAACTCGAGCTGCTTTTTAAACCTGTACCAGTGAAAATCCTCTGTACATGTCTTCTGGAAGACGAATAGCCCGTGTAAGTGTTCGTGGTGGTATTTACCATCTTGTTTTGGCTGTAGAAGAGACTATCGCAGCATTAAAACAGCTTACATCAGTGAGCAGTAACGACGGTGTATATTGTTGAACATGACCAGATGACGCCACGTATATATTATTGGACAACTGTATAGAGAGCGTGAAGTATTCATGAGCTGATATCTGGAAGTATTGACACACATCCATCGTCTGTCACTAGTGGATCATTACTCGTCAGTGACTAATTTAATGTTGACCAGCTGTAGTGAATCTTGTCATCATTAGGATTGATTATAGAATGTTCTGTTGCTTGGTTAGGTTAGGTTAGGTTAGGTTAGGTTAGGTTAGGTTAGGTTAGGTTAGGTTAGATCAGTGTCGTATTTCTTGATGCTATTCTTTTATTTTAAATTTGTGTTTTGATGTTGTCATTAAATTATTTGTTTTCTGTAGGCGCTATTTCCAGGATACGGCCCCCATGTGTTACACCTCCAGGATACAGCCCCCATGTGTTATGTCTCCATGGTACAGCCCCCATGTGTTACACCTCCAGGATACAGCCCCCATGTGTTACACCTCTAGGATACAGCCCCCATGTGCTACACCTCCAGGATACAGCCCCCATGTGTTACACCTCCAGGATAGAGCCCCCATGTGTTACACCTCCAGGATACAGCCCCAAATGTTACACCTCCAGGATACAGCCCCATGTGTTACACCTCAGATACAGCCCTTGTGTTACACCTCCAGGATACAGCCCTATGTGTTGCACCTCCAGGATACACCCTATGTGTTACACCTCCAGGGACAGCCCCATGTGTTACACCTCCAGGATACAGCCCCTATGTGTTACACCTCCCAGGTACAGCCCCCATGGCCACACTCCAGGATACAGCCCCTATGTATTACACCTCAGGGAACAGCCCCCGTGCTACACCTCCACAGCCCCCATGTCTTACACCTCCAGGATACAGGCCCCATGTCTACACCAGGATACAAGGCGAACATGATAGTATGCAACAGTATACAAGAGGGCGTGCAGTAGTATATACAAGAGGGCGTGCAGTAGTATACAAGAGGGCGTGCAGCAGTATACAAGAGGGCGTGCAGCAGTATACAAGAGGGCGTGCAGTAGTATACAAGAGGGCGTGCAGCAGTATACAAGAGGGCGTGCAGCAGTATACAGGAGGTCGGTGTGAAGGTTTCTTGCGTGTATATTGCACCAGCCATCATACAGGCAGCCCGCCCCGCCAACAACATACTAATGCCTATGTTTCTCTCAGTTTTGCCGGAGAGAGAGACAGACAGATAGACAAAGGGACAGAGACAGTGAGAGAGAGAGAGAAAGTGTCATTGTCCATTTATCGACAAGATTTGCTGGGAGACAATTCAGTTCTCAGGAATATTGCTGAAAGATATTTATTTCTTACCTGACTTCCTAACTGATTTACTGAGGGAATATTTTTCTCTCGGTCTTCTTTACCAACTAAATACAGTACATCTGCTCTTCGTCGCCCTAGTTGGTGGCTATTATTTTTCCTCTCCATCGTCTAGCTCTTTGTTGTTCACCAGTCAACAGTCACTAGGGTATGGAGGGATATGTCAGGTCTTCGTGGTGAGGTCAACAGTGTGTCCCCGGAGGTGAGGGTCACCATGTTCGGGGGACCCGCTGCTGCCACGTACTGTGTGTATTAGTGTCCATAATTAGGTTACCTGCCGTCCACCTTCACCTGCCTCACACACTAACGTCAGGTGTATGTTAGTATCTTACACCTGAGGCCCTAGTGTAGTGCTGCTTCCACTCATTGTGTTGTAGGTACACCAGGGTGTTGTACCAAGGTATTGTGGGTATGCCAGGGAGTTGTAGGGTACACCAAGATGTTGTGCCAAGGTGTGGTGGGTACACCAAGGAGTTGTAGGGTACACCAGGGTGTTGTAAGGTACACCAGGGTGTTTTAGGGTATACTCGAGGGTTGTAGGTACACCAGGGTGTTGTAAGGTACACCAGGGTGTTGTAGGGTACACCAGGGGGTTGTAGGTACACCAGGTGTTGTAGGGTACACAAAGGTGTTATACCAGGGTATGGTGCAGAGTGTGTGTGTGTGTGTGTGTGTCGCACACACACACTGGGTGGTGTAATGCGTCTAGTGTGGCAGCATTATGATAGTGTTAAGGTGCAGGCACTGTTTGCTTCTTCTCGCTTTCAGCTGCCGCCGCTGGCTAGCCCTCGTGGTGAACAGGAAAGCAACCCTGCATAATTCTTCCCCTGCCAGTACACAGCCTCTTCACCATCAAGACTCCTGCTGCGCCTCCTCGTGGCAACACACGGTAACTGGGTGTCTCGCAGCCCCAGGCTAGACCAGCAGGGTATCTCGGAGTAGCAGTGGGTCCCAGAGGGACGGTGCATAGGCTTACTGGTAGGTGGACACGTCCTGGCGCCTACCAACCACTGTACAGCTGACTTGCATATTAACCTTGGTAGGTATAAAGCTGCGGGAGTAAACCCTGAACGAAAAATCGGTGGTGGAGCCCTGCATTAGGCAGAGATGCTTATAGAGCTCCGGTAAGACCCCAACGGTGGAATAGGCATAGAAAGTGACCAGCATGGGAACCCAACAACTACACCAGCGGATGAAGGCAATGCAAGATGGACAGGCTACTAATGCGAAACCCAACAAACTGGGCTATCGGCAGTCCATTGCAACTCTCCTTCTCCCCAATCGTTGCAACTATTTCCATCACTAGGTCAGGAAAAGAGAGAACCAGGATGTGTGGTTCCAGCCTGCGCTCCTGCCCCACCATATAAATCAACTCACGTGCAGCCATCATCCAGCTCATCATTCTTCGCATCATCATCAAAATCCCTATAAGCCGAAAAGTCCTATGACGACGGACGAGTGGCGACGGGGACAGTCAGAGATGACTGTCGGGAGTCTCTTGTCACAATTCTGCGCATGGGCGGCACAGATAAGATGGTCGCGTATGCACTGGGATCTAGCCAGCGGTGCAATCTGGCCCTGTCTGTGCGATTGAGCAACCCTCTCCAGGAGCCACTCTGCTCACCCCACATGGGGAGGGGGCTAGAAAAGGTGCCCTAAACGCAGCCTGCCTAAAGAAGCAACCTGACTCGGCAACCGCACTCAGCAAAGTCATCCTTATGCAGTCGAAAACGCAATTATAATCACAGATCAAAACAAAAACAAACTATACAACCTATTATGGTCGCTGCATGAAATGTCAGGACCCTTATCAATACTGACACAAATTGGCATCCTGAATGAAAAACCTCTTTTGTGGCAAAAGAGGTCCAGGTATAACATTGACATAGCAGCCATTAGTGAGTCCTGGCTCCCAGACGAGGGTCGACTCACAGAACGTGGGTCTGGCTATACCTTCTTCTGGAAGGGTAAGGCAGCTGTGGAGAGAAACCGCATTTACGGAATTGGCTTTGCCATTCGCCAATACATCCTATATAGGCTAACTGAAATGCCTGTTGGGATCAACAAGCGCCTCATGACGCTCCGAGTCCCACTGAATCACTCACGTCGTGCCTCCTTCATCAGTACATATGCCCCAACACTGGATGCAGAAGATGATATCAAGGAGGTCTTTTACGCCAACCTTAACAGAATGCTATTCTATTTCCCAGAGGAAATAAGGTTGTGCTCGTAGGTAACTTCAATGCCCAGGATGGCAGAGATGCTGACATATGACAGGGAACCATATGGAGAAACGGAGTAGGCAAGTGTAATCACAACAGCTTATCCTCCTCAGCACGTGTGCTGAACACAACCTCACTATCACCACCACCTTGTGTAACTAGGCCGACAAGTTCAGGGGTTCTTGTCAACACCCACTATCCAAACAATGGCATCTTATTGACTACATCATTGTCAGAGAAAGAGATCGCCGAGATATCCTCATCACCCGACCATGCATGGCTCAGACCGCTGTGACACAGATCAACGGCTCGTCAGCCCCAAACTGTCCCTTCATTTCGCCCCAAAACGGCAAAGGAAACAAGCCTCCAGAAGAGGCTTTAACACCAAGCAACTGGAGTATCCAGGAGTAGAACATGATTTCAGAGAGCATCTCAATGATGGGCTGATAAACAAACCAACATCAAACAACCAAAACCCAGGGCCGAATGGGGTTCCATTAAAGCTGTCATCACAAAAACTTGCAACAAAACCCTCTGTCAGGTCAAAAGAAAACACCCGGTTTAGTTTGATGAAAAAGACCCGAAAATCGAAGTACTCATCAATAGTAAACATGGTGCTCTTACTGATTGGTAGAATAACCTTAAGTCTGGGACCAAAGTTGAGACATTCCACAAGAAGAAAGAGGCGGCCCAGCACATACAGAGCAAAGTAATAAACGAATGGTGGAAAAATCTAGCGCGTGAAATGCAAAAAAAAAAAAATCCGGATCAACACAAGATGCATATATTTTTCATTTCCGTTAAAACAATATATGGTCCAACTACTCATGGCGTGGCCCCCTCCACTCATCCGAAAGCAACTCCCTAATTAAGGACGAAAAAGGGCATCCGACAGCGTTGGAAAGAGCACTACCATTCGCTGCTTAACCGAATCACCAGTGTGGACGTCCTGAGTACCCAGCAGGTCCCTCAGCACCGAAAGCTGAACCACCTCGGCTGTCCTTCATCCTTGGATTGAGGTACCTACTGCTATGAGGCAGAAGAAAAATAACAGTCACAGGGTCTGATGGAATCCCAGCCGAGGTGTATAAAGCAGGAGGACTTCTGCTTACCAGCTGTCTCCACACACTCCTGAAGAATATATGGGAAAAGGAGGAAATCCCCCAAGATCTTAACGAGATTGTCAATATTTATAAGAACAGGCGAGATCGGTCAGACTCTTGGGAACTACCGCGGGATCTCGCTGCTGCCCGTAGCTGGCAAAATTATCGCCCGAGTCCTCCTAAACAGACTTCTTCCTGAGGCGGAAAACTTCCTCACAGAATCTAAATGTTACTTTAGACCATCATGTGACACCCAGAAATAGGAAAAATACAGAGAAAGGCATCGTGACTTGTGCATGGCCCTCATTGACTTTACTAAGGCCTTCGGTTCAATCAACAGGGAACCCCTCTGGCGGTCCCTCAGTCGTTTTGGCTGCCCACCAAAATTTATTGCCATTGTGAAGCAACTCCACGATGGCATGAACGGCAGTATCCTGCACAATGGCACCCAGTCTGAGTTCATCCCCATCCAACCGGGAGTAAAACAAGGATGTGTACTGGCACCAACTCTCTTCTCCATCTTCTTGGTTGCCTTCCTTACTTGTGCCAGTGCCAATTTAGCCGGCGGGTGGACATCCAGTACACGGATGAAGGGACTTTTCAACATAAGACGACTCCGGGCAGGAACAAAGGTGCCGGCCGTTTCCATCACTGAACTTCAGTATGCAGACGACCTAACCCTCGTCGTTCACACTGAACACCTCTGCATATGCGTATGAACACTTCGGCCTTGAGGTGAATGCACAAAAGACTCAGATTCTCTTTTAGCCTTGCCCTGGTTCAACCACACCTCCAACATCCATCCATCTTAACGGTACTACCCTCTCTAATGTTATCCATTTCCAGTACCTTGGCTCACACCTGTCCACCAACGCGGACATCGATGAAGAAATTCAACATCAGATCAGATGTGCATTTCAAGCTTTTGGCAGAATCCGTACCCGTGTCTTCAGCTGTAGGGAGCTGAAATTATCTACAAAGTTGCACGTGTATCGAGCAGTGGACCTCCCCACTCTGCTGTATGGCAGTGAGACATGGGACACATACAGGAGGCACCTCAAGGCAGTTGAAAACTTTCGCCAATGTAGTCTACGTTCCATCCTTTAAGTTCGCTGGGAAGACAAGAGAACAAATGCCAGTATTCTCGATAACATCAACTGTAGGAGCATCGAGACTATCATTATCCATGAACAACTACATTGGACTGGCCATGTTACCCTAACGAATGGTAAACGTAACACTGCCTGACAACTGAAAAGGTAAATGAAGGATCTTAAGACAAATCTGAAAAAGAACCAAATCTGAAAAAGAACCAAATCGACCCCCTCACCTGGGAGACAATTACTCTACTTCGTAATGCTTGGAGGAGCACCACACCAGAAGGTGTCAATGTTTTCGAGTTAGTCCGACTGCATACCGAGGCAGACAAGCACCAGCTCCAGAAAGACGCTGCCGCCACCTCTGTGGCGGCCTGACGAGTCACCTCAGAGCTCAACCAACAAAGGTAATATCTTTAATAACTCATATTATTGTATCGTAGCTGGATGATCGTCATATTCGTTTCCGAGTGACAGCAAAGTAGTAAGTAGGTAGGTACACCAGGGTGTTGTTTGTACACCAAGGCGTACCAGGGTGTTGTAGGGTTCACCAGGGTGTTGTAGGGTTCACTAGGTTGTTGAATGTAGACCAAGTTGCTGTAGGGTACACCAGGGTTTTGTAGGGTTCACCAGGGTATTGTAGGGTTCACTAAGGTGTTGTAAAATACACCAGGGTGTTGTAGGGTACGTGAAGATTTTGTAGGATACACTCACGAACAGGCTTTAGTACTGTCTCTCGTTACTGTGTGTTAAATGAGAGGATAAAAAAATATTAAGAATGCCATGAGAGAGAGAGAGAGAGAGAGAGAGATTTTTTAGTAAAATAACTGCCGTGATAAATCCTTAGGAAACAGTTTGGGAATACATCTGGAGGTGAGGGTAGGAATGGTTCAGTATTTCGTGGGATTTGCATTGTGTCATAATGAGTTTACATCTGCAGCAACATTAACACAACCCAGCTTTATTGTTCCCAACTCCAGTGCTAGAAAAATAATTATATATAACTACGACTACTACTACTACTACTACTACTACTACTACTAAAGTAATTATACTAATATCACTAATAGTAGCAATAATAACAACAATAATAACAATACTAACAATATTAATAGTACGAGTAGTAGAATAAATAGTGTATGTTCTCCTGAATATTGTAACTTATATATAGTGTCTAGGTTATTATGATAGTAGAGAGTGTCTTCCAGGGGTCTCGGGGCAGGAGAGTGACAAGGAGCAGTCAAATTTAACCTCTAGTGTAACTTAAATTTCAACGAGAGGGAGGCTGGGAGGGGAGATGAGAGGGAGGCTGGGAAGGGAGATGAGGGGTGCTGGGAGGGGAGATGAGAGGTGTTGGGAGGGGAGATGAAGGGTGCTGGGAAGGGAGATGAGAGGTGCTGGGAGGGGAGATGAAGGGTGCTGGGAAGGGAGATGAGAGGTGTTGGGAGGGGAGATGAAGGGTGCTGGGAGGGGAGATGAGAGGTGTTGGGAGGGGAGATGAGAGGGAGGCTGGGAGGGGAGATGAGGGGTGCTGGGAAGGGAGATGAAGGGTGCTGGGAAGGGAGATAAAGGGTGCTGGGAAGGGGGATGAGAGGTGCTGGGATGGGAGATGAGGAGTGAAGGAGAGGATAAATGTGAGAGGGATGTTCTACCCTTCTCCCTCCCCCCTCCCTTTGGTCCCTCTTCTTCCCATTTTTTCATAACCTCACTGCCTCACACACTCATCCCTCACGCACTCTCACTCTCTCATACTCCCTAACATACTCTCACCCATCACACACACTCACCACTCGCACCCGTCACTCCCTCACACACATTCTTACCACTCACTCCCTAACATACTCATAATCCCTCATAAATGAATATATCTTAACACAATACCTCACACTATATCCACTAACACATCCACCATCACTCACACCTGACTTACTCGTTGACTGTGTAATTATAAACACCTTTGTGTACATGAGGTAAAAAAAAAGGTTAGGAGCGTCAACAGGTGTTTCGGAGATGAAGTGTTTACTGGCGAACAATACAACCTGTGTAGATTTTACGAGTCTTGTTATAAAAGTAGTTAGTGACAGGCGGAACGACTTGAACAGACAGACAGACAAACAGAGAGACAGAGAGAGAGAGACGTGGTTCACTTCAATAAGAACACACGGTGGAGGTCACGGCTAAAGTGGAGGTCACAGGCCACAGTGGAGGTCACAGCCACAGTGGAGGTCACAGCCACAGTGGAGGTCAAGCACAGGAGGTCACAACCATAGTGGAGGTCACAAACCACAGTAGAGGTCACAAACCATAGTGGAGGTCACAACCACGGTGGAGGTCACAGCCAAAGTGGAGGTCACAGCCATAGTAGAGGTCACAGACACAATGGAGGTCACAGATACAGTAGAGGTCACAACCACAGTGGAGGTCATAGCCACAGTGGAGGTCACAGCCACGGTGGAGGTCACAGCCACAGTTGAGATAACAGCCACAGTGGAGGTCACTGTCATAGTGGAGGTCACAGCCCCGGTGAAAGTCACAGCTATGGTGGAGGTCACTGCCTCAGTGGAGGTTACAGCCACGGTGGAGGTCACAGCCACAGTGGAGGTCACATACACGGTGGAGGTCACAGTCATGGTGGTGGTAACAGCCACAGTGGAGGTCACAGCCACAGTGGAGGTCACAGCACAGTGGACAGTCATGGTGGTGGTCACAGCCACAGTGGAGGTCACTGCCATAGTGGAGGTCACAGCCCCAGTGAAAGTCACAGCTATGGTGGAGGTCACTGCCACAGTGGAGGTCACAGCCACAATGGAGGTCAAACCACAGTGGAGGTCACAGTCATGGTGGTAACAGCCACAGTGGAGGTCACAGCCACAATGGAGGTCAAACCACAGTGGAGGTCACAGTCATGGTGGTGGTAACAGCCACAGTGGGAGGTCACAGCCACAGTGGAGGTCACAGCCACAGTGGAGGTCACAGTCATGGTGGTGGTCACAGCCACAGTGGAGGTCACTGCCATAGTGGAGGTCACAGCCACGGTGGAAGTCACAGCTATTGTGTGGGTCACTGCCACAGTGGAGGTCACAGCCACAATGGAGGTCAAACCACAGTGGAGGTCACAGTCATGGTGGTGGTAACAGCCACAGTGGAGGTCACAGCCACAATGGAGGTCAAACCACAGTGGAGGTCACAGTCATGGTGGTGGTAACAGCCACGGTGGAGGTCACAACCATAGTGGAGGTCACAACCACGGTGGAGGTCACTGCCACAGTGGAGGTTACAGCCACGGTGGAGGTCACAGCCACAGTGGAGGTCCCCGCCATGGTAGAGGCAGGATATATGCCTCGCTCCCTCACATTGTTCACAAGATATTAATGGTCTCTCTGTTCAGGTCTCAACCAATTTTTTCAGGTCATGCTAATGGAGGGTCGGTGTAGACCTGGCCAGAGCGACGATGACTTTAATGAAGTAACTTTGTCCGTCAGCCGCCACCTGCCACCTGAGTGACAGACAGACAGACAGACTTTATTTTGTGATTGTACCAACTTTGCTCCCATTGTCGTTCCAAGTGGGGTCTGAGCAGTGCATTAAAACCTAACCTAACCAGACCTAACCTAACCTAACCTAACCTAACCTAACCAGACCTAACCTAACCTAACCTGACCAAACCTGATGAAATACTTTTTAAGTAATATACTTTCTCTTCATACTACTTCTCCTCCTCCCTACCCTCATCCCCTCCCCAAAATTCCCTAATCCTCTCTCTCTCCCTTCTTCCCACCCTCACCTATCCCCACACTCTTCTCCCCTTCTACCCCACTCTTCCCCTCGCCATCTCCCTCACCCTCATCCCCACCCTTACCCTCCCCAAGATCCCTTCATCCTCCCCATCCCATCCCCTAACCCTCCCTCCCTCACCACCACCACCACACCTTACCGTCTCCGTCACCACCCCCAGTATCCTTCCCCTCATTCACCCCGTCATCCTCTCCTTTACCCTCCTCCCCACTCACTTTAAAACCCAGGAAACACCATTCTCTCCCTTACCCTCTTCTTCCCACCCTCTCTCTCCCCAAAACCCCCTCGTCCTCCCTCTCTTCCTCCCCCATACCCTCATCCTCCCCCTCAACACACACCACGAACTATTTTTTTTATATTTGCCCCCTCGGTGGCTAGTTTATTGGGCACCCCCTTGTCACCCTGTGCAAGGTGAAACGCAAAAGCGTTTACAGCGCCTATCTGGGAAGCATGCGTAGTATATGCTTTTTTTTTATATACGGGAATTAGCCCACCGGGCACAGATCGAACGACCCACAACGGGTCCTAAGGGACCTTCATGACTCATACATTAAGGGCGTAAAAGCCTGAAGGAGCTCTTGGTGTCATTTCTCAGAGCAACTTATTTCCCCGTCAACACGAGAGTGAAATTCGACCCCTCAACTCTTTTACGTGTTCATAAATATGTCTCTCGTCCCCAGAGGTCCTTCATTATATCTCTTCATCCATTTATGTTTTCTGAATAAGAAACTTTGTTCATAAATACGTAATATATAGTTTCATCTTTATTCTATTTCCCTTCAGTAACTTTTAAATATTGTTTCATAATTTCAGTTCGTAGTTATTGTAAAGTGTGAATGGGAATTGTTATGTAATATTATTCTTACTTCAGTTATAGTGGTCAATATTCAGCCTGGTCATAATGGTCTACAAAGACTGGTCATAATGGTCCATAAAGACTGGTCATAATGGTCCATAAAGACTGGTCATAATGGTCCAATAAAGACTGGTCATCATGGTCATAAATAAAGGACTGGTCATAATGGTCAATCAACTTAGCACAATGGTCATCAATGATGCTTCAATGTGCATACTAAATGTTGCTTCTTTGTTGCTGAGCTCAACTCGTTGCTGAATTGACGCCTCAGGTGTTACTGTCCTTGCTAGGGGAGTACGTGATAATTTAATAGCGATCTTGTTGCGCGATAATTGTTTTAGGGGGAAATTATTTTTAATAATTTACCGGAGAGAATTTTTTTTTTTTTTTTTAGTATTTGGAAAAAATATAAAAACTTCAGGACTGTTGTGCTCTGGTATGACCTGAGATAGGTATTTGTACATCTTGATCCTAGTACCTGAAGATGGCCTCTAGACCTGAACTGAGACCCTAACAAATCCCTGATCTCTCTCCCCGATTGTATAAGATGCCAAGACTTACCGTGGAGTTTGTTTTCAGAGTGAGGTATATGTACAAAACATTCGAGTATCATCATTATTATTATTAACCTTCGTATACGCCAGTCATTATTATGGTAACGCTCCGCCTGTGCTCCGCTGTGCTCGTCGTGGCTTCAATAGACTCTTCTAGATCTGTGTGAAGCTCCTTGACTCAGGATGGATCTAGTTAACTTGAGTCTATGATCCTTGTCTTGAACTATTGCTGTCTTGTTGAAGTAGATCACTGACGGTGTTATGAGCGCTTACCTGCTGCACCTGGGGACTTACCTCCTCTTAACTTTGATGTAACTTGTGGCCATCTCCTGCAAACTGTGGCGTAGGTGTAATAATAATAATAATAATAATAATAATAATAATAATTAACGGTTTATTGAAAGAGCTTGGAAGCCGGAAGGCTGAAAATATACAGTTACATATTTGAGGAATGGGTTTCGAATTACATATAATATACAAGTAACATAAGTGATACAAATAAGATATATAATAACTAGATGGGGAAAAGCTCAAACTACAGTTCATTTCAACATAGTGACAGTGCAAGAAGTAGTATTTACTGGGAGTGAATACACTGGTTTATTACAAGTTATTGATAATTTTTACAATGGTTGGGACTGGGCTGTTCTTATAGCGATCAGTTCGTGCACGTATGGGCTGGATGCGGTTGTGGTGTCGAACAGCAATTCTTGGGCTAGGGATCTCAGGTGGTAGTAGGAGCCGGTGTCGAGGATGGTGTAGAAGCTTCTTACCAAATTTGCAGATGAGGTCGTGGTGATGGTCAGTGAGAGTAGGAAGGGGAGAGAATAATCTTGCATGCCCTCTTTTGCACTTTTTCTAGGTGTTTACGTTGTGTGGCATTTAGGGAGGTGTATGTGTGTGTGTGTGTGTGTGTGTCAGGTGTGTGTATATCAGGCGTGTGTGTGTGTGTATGTCAGGTGTGTGTATATCAGGCGTGTGTGTGTGCGTATATCAGGCGTGTCTCCTGCAAACTGTGGTGTAGGTTGATGTGTGTCTGTCAGGTGTGTCTCTTACAATCTTTGGTGTGTGTATGTCAGGTGTTTCTCCTGCGAACTTTGGTGTAGGTGTGTGTATGTCAGGTGTGTCTCTTACAATCTTTGGTGTGTGTATGTCAGGTGTGTGTATGTCAGGTGTGTCTCCTGCAAACTGTGGTGTAGGTGTGTGTATGTCAGGTGTTTCTCCTGCAAACTGTGGTGTAAGTGTGTGTATGTCAGGTGCAAACTGTAACATAAATATGTATGTAAGCGTCTCAGGGGAGTCCTCATTGCTTCTACCTTAGTACTAAAGGCGACTAATGACCTTTGATTATGCTCTTAAAGTGCCGGTAGTGATTATTTTGTCTACGGGTATTGTGTGTTGAACGCTTTACTCAACTGAAATTGGAAATGAAATAGCTTATTAAGCCAGATTTTTTGATATATTTGATACAGTAACAAGAATAGTGACATCGTTGATCTCTCTGAGTGCTCTAAAGTCCACTGAGGAACACCTGATAGTTACAATTGTGGACATTTCGGACTAGTACACTCAGGGTTGTCAATCCACTTTTTCCGTGAGGTGTGAACCCCGAGAGTATTGACTCGTGAATCCGAAGCATCAAAGTTACTCGGTAAGACGTAGGTGCACACTGTAACCTGGGACCAGAATGATATAATTTGTCTCATTACCTGGTCCGACAACGTTTACATAGATTAAATGAGGTAATATGGGCGCTTTTTATTCATCTAACGTGGAATGAATAATACCTGTTCTGCAGTGGACAATGTATGGCTGGAACAGTTGCTTACACGGTATAAATCTACCACTTTATTTATCCTCAAGCAAAGTGTAAGAGACGATTGTATGGTGCCAGGCTTTATGAGGTGTGGTGGCGTGATGCCTCGGATTCTGAGACAAAGTCAATGGTCTGGCCAGCCGCATTTTTGCCCAATCATCGAATTAACAACCGGTTTACCATATATCACTTGCGTGACGGGAGAAACATCATCTCTGATCATTACACACATATTTACATCATTAATATGGTATAGTTTATTGTTGTAGAATTAAAAAAAACGCATATAAATACCATTTCTCCTCAAGCAAAGGCACATTTCGTCACGGGCCACACACTATAGCAGACAGGATGTAAAAATGTTTTATTTGTTTATCTAAACGAAACTTCAACCAAATGTAAAGTAACAGAATTCAGAGGATTACGTATTTCTTACTTAACACAATAGTATGGCAGTGCAACTGTCCCCTGCTCATACGTCACCTCACGTCTGGAGAGTCGTAACAAAAAGTACAGAACCTGTGCCTTCTATATTTTTTTACGACTCCCAGACATGCGGGAGCTAACTTTGCACTGCACACTATATAACACCATGGCGCTACGTCTGGTACTCGCACAACTACCATTGATGAAGGACGAGGGTTAAAACTATAACCAAACAGGAAATGCTTGCAACAGGTGGAACTGCTACCGACTGGACTTATCATTGTC